ATCTATATCTGCGCCTTTTTCCATCAAAAGAAATTCAAACAGAAAAAATAATAAAATAAAATCTTTCTCAGACAAGTTTTAAGGATACATATTACATCATTTAATATTTCAACAGACTGGATTTTACCATTCTCCTAAACTTATACAATGATCCTACACCTTTAATATCATTCTCCAGATTATTCCACAGTTTTATTCCTTGCACTGAAGTACATCGTTCCTTCAAACTAGTTCAGATTTTAGGTTTCACAAACACCTCTGTCCCTTTTAAACTGTAGTAACTTTGTCTCTTAACAAAACTCAATTGGATGTTCAAAGGTATTTTTATGAGCCTTATACATAATCTGCAAAATGTTGTAATCAACCAACTCATAGAATTTCAATAAACTGACAAAATAATGTATTTGATGGGTAATCATAATGGGGTTTTTTTTTTGGATGTTTTGTCCTGTTGGGAAAAGTCTTGATTTTAAAGTAACTGTTAGACATAAGACTCTGAAATCTTTCTCAGACATAAAAATAAAAACACATTTTCATGATTTGTTAAGTTCAATAATTATTGTTAATCATCTCCCTTTAAAGGGGCGACGGGGTTAAAAAGTGGTCTCTCTCTTCTCAGTTGAAGTTTCCCCAAACTCGTCTCAAAATCTTTCTTGGTGCCGTTTAAGACATCCAAACTGCCCGTCTTTACGTCGTACCCATGTCCCTTCAGTCGCTGGATGCGATAGTTCACTATCTGCGGGGTCAGCTCCAGGATGGCCGGAGTCTCTGTGATCTGAGACATGCTGATCCCGGCACCGAGGAGGCCCTTAAAGYGATCAGAAAGTGTAGATTCTGGGTAGTAAAGCAAAGCTGGACACTTGAGGACGATCTCCCGCAGCTCCTCTTCGGAGCAGCCGATGGTTTTCCGGGAGAAGGTCAGGGTGCGGCGCATTCTGTCTGGGTTCAGCTCGGTGACAAAGCCTTTCAGYTTGGAGAGGAGGCGGAGGAGCTCTGCGGTGCTGAAGCCCCTCTCTCTCAGGAACACCAGGTTCTGCCTCAGCTCATCGGCGGGTTTGAGAAGAACAAACGGGTTTTGACTCAGCAGCTTCTGAAGCCAGATTTTCATGTTGGCCTCTTCGCCCCCGAGCTCCCTGTAGGCCTGTTGGAGGGCGCAGACCATGACCCGGTTCTGCTCCACCGGCTGGCTGAAGCTCTGTGGAGCGCTGGCCATGAGTTTGGTGATGACTCGCTTGTTCAGGTTCAGACTCTGGAGGTAAACGATGTTGTTCCGCTGGTTGTCGTTGTGACTGGACGAGGTGAAGAAGGATGCTGGGAATTTCTCAATAATACCGATCAGCTCGTTCTGGTTTGGGCACACAGACGTCCACAGCTCCCTCTGAGTCTGCATCTGCTCCGGATTACAAAGAACGGCCTCCGGATGAACAGCTAAGATGTGAGCAATGACGTGGCCCGAGGCCCCCATGTCCTTCAGCAGACCGGCTACCTCCTTYGCGTAGGCCGGACTCTCGTGTAGCACCCATCCTTTAAGTTTCCGAACCTTCTGGATGTCCACGGAGAGCTCATAAAGAGCCTCCACAGTCTGTTGGTTCTCCCCTGAGCTGAGAGACGCACATCTCCTGAGGTTTAAAGGCAGAGCTGCAGCATGTTGGCATCGAACGTACAGAGACGTTGCAAAGAAGCGCAGCATTAATGCAAAATCCTGCTGGTTCTCAGACACTGTGAGGAGTGACAGCAAAGAATTAAAGGTTTCAATTAGGACACAAAACAATGGCAACGTAATCAAACATTGTTATGATGACAACCTCCACACTGAATATCACACTACACTAAAAACACATTGAAAATGGGAGATGAGATTTTTAGGCTGCTATTATYAGCTGCAAATTTTCATTTCACATCTGACAAAAAAATAGCTAAAACTGCTATTTCTTACATACAGAACACAAATCCAACCTACTCCCAATAGGAAGTAGATATACACTGCAAAAACTGTCCATCTTACCAAGTTTTAAAATCTTATAT